TGGTTTATTTGTGTCCTTAGTACCTTGTGCAAACCTAACCAACTGAAGCTCATTCAACATCATGCCATGTAAACTGGGCTTATGAATTATTTTATCATGATGACATATCATCTACTAGAATCAATTTGGATAGTGAAGTAGAATTGTATGCCATAGCATAATAGATGAATTACAGGGAAAATCACCAACCAACCTCTGCTGTTAAAAGTTCAAAATCTTTAGCACTGGTTTTTGCAACAACTTTCTTCTCAGACTTGAATTTTTTAGGTTCCTTTTGATCTTCATGTTTTTTCTTTCTTTTCCGAGTTACTTCTTCATGTTGAGTCTAAAATAATAATATAAAAGAAATACAAAAGAAGTTGTTTGCCCAATTCTGTATAGCAACCAGAAATTACATGAAGTGAGCTGCAGAGCTCATAAAATCTTGTGCCTTATAATAAAATCTGTCAGTCTTAAAAGATGCAGCCAAATTCCTTCTGATTTTCCTCTCCTACATACAGAAAAGGAGAAAATTCAATTCATCTCCATTTAACCATAGTTAATTAACTATAGTTTCTCATTTCATACACAGTGAGCCGAATCATGGCTAATTTAAACTATTTTTTTTTTTATTTATGAGATTTAAAGGCTGCTGAACTCCAAAACAGTCTGGGTGGCTTACAAAATTAAAAACAATAAAACATTAGAACAGTAAAAACACAAACCACGTGCATCTGGGAAAAACAGACCCGCAATCAATTAGAATTCTACAGGGACTTGGCACACATCCTAACTGGGAGCAGCCAGATTTTCAAAGACTTCTTTTCCATCATTGGGTGGGAGCCATACAAATCTCTGGGGGAATGCTGTTCCAGCGAGCAGGTGCTGTGACAGAGAAGGTATGTTTTCTGGGTTTCAATAGATGACATTGTTTAATCAAAGGGCCTGGAACATACCCACTCTGCCCCTGAACTGTTCAATGAGCCCAAAACCAGAAAGCTTATTTTGATCCTGGTTCATTTCAGTAAGGCATAGCTTAAATCAACCAGTTTTACCTGATCAATACACAACAGTTAGCTTAACTAGGAAGTATATGCTTCTGGCTGCCTCCTCTTACATGATGCACAAAAGGGGAGATGAATGACCCAGTGTAAAACTGGAACAGGCTATATTATGGATCAAACTGGATTATACTTTTCCCATAAACATGCCCAGACTGTAATCAATGAAGTACAGTTTGCAATTTAGACAGTGCAAAGATAAAAAATTGTGCTGCAGCATCTTTTTAAATGGCAGGTATTACAGGAATCACTCTAGAGTGACTGCAGACAATATATGGCTAAATAACATGGCAATCTCCTTTGTATAAAAGTTATTTATTTACATAAAATACTATATTCCATCCCTTTAGGACACACATACCATTTAAAATGACTAAGAACAGTTAAAACCATTACAAAATTAAAATCAAATTCATGAGAAACAAAAACACGAAGTTAAATAATAAAAACAGACAAATGTTTTAAAATTATCTTGGGGTCAGAGTGTTTGTTAGACCTGTAAATTAGTTTGGTAAATTTTCATTTCAGCCATAGTCTTCAATGGTACACTTGTATTTTAAGTAGTTTGAGAACTACCCTTTTGAAAATGACTTGTTATTAATTGGAAAAAATCAACCATTGAATAAATATAATGAAATATTGCCACCACTGTCTCCAGCTTCTTTCATCTGATTGCATGTAATCAGGATCAAACTTTATCAGAAAATTCAATATTTTAGTCTAAACAATCATTTATCCAATACATTTCCCTCCCAATTTCAATTTGTCTGACACCCTGGGAGAACCTGCTCATGATCCCTCACTTTTATGAGGAAGTGGGATGGAGGCTGATAGATCCACCTTTCTGTGGATGCAGCTACTCTTTGCAACTCCGGTCTCCCACAAATCTGATCTGCCCCCGTTCTATTGGCTTTCTGCAAACTATTACAAACTCTAGTTACTTCAGAGAGCCTTTGGGAAAGATGCCATCAGATTGACTGATTATAGTGTGATTATTTGTTTTTATATAGTTTTAATGTTTTATTGTATTTCTGCTGATGTATGTGAAGCATCAAGAGTCTCTGTAATGGTGCCAGAGTACAAAATTAATAAATAAACCTATTAAAGTTTCATACCAAGATAAAGATCTAAGCTCAATGGAAAAATGAATTGTACACACACATACACACACACACGCTTCTCTCCCACCTTTATTTGTAAAGTGTTCCCATATTAACTAGCAATTCACAACAAACTTTTCTTGTAAACAATGTCAATTCAAAAATTTGGAGACATACTTCAATAGAAAATATATGCACTATATGCAGTCCCAGAAACAATTTTTCGCATCTCAAATTTAAAAGGTTACATATAAGAAAGCCAGGAAATCAGACAATTGGTATCAGTCACAAAACCAGCTAGAGGAATCAATAGCCTGAGATGACAGAAGGTAGGTTCAGATGTTCATAATTTGCATACCTTGAATAAATTATCTTGGTCTACTATTGGTTGCCTGACTGCTTTTTCCTCCTGTCCCTTCTTCTGTATACCACCTCTTGGGAAATTCTCCTCTATAGATGACATGGTTGTCTTTCTATATGAAAAGAAACTAAACTATTAGAATTTATAAATCACTCATCAGGACAAAATCATACAACATAAACATCCTTTCATTTTAGGAATGAGATGACACAGATAATAAATCATAAGAATATAAGACATTTGAGTCATTTTTGAAAATGTTAGTTCTCTAGTCATTCTAGCAGTCACCTGAAATTGGAACCATCCAGATATATATTTGATCCCCATATCATCCTCAACCACTGGCCAAGTAAATGGGTGATGATGGGGAGCACAAAACATCTGAAAGACATGAGGTAGGGGAAGGCCAATGCACTCTGGGACACTGATCATCAAGATATATTCTTGTTCAATAATTAAGTTCAGGTAGGTTGGACCAGAGGAACCATAGATATTTTCTTTTAATTGACTACATTCTGAAAGGATAAAAATATTCTAGAATTGAACTGGTTTAATGGTAGTTCCCTATTTTCAGTGAACTGTAGTTCCACAATGGCTAGTTGAGTGTCAAGATTGACAGAGGATTATCTATGACTTATTAAGATAAAACTTTTCAATCTGGGGTGGAAACAGTGACAATTGCATAACTATTTATGGTCAGCTACTGAATTTATACTGCAAAAATAGTTAAAGATGAGCTTTTCTTAGGAAAAATCTCTTGGGAATTCTTAAGATTTAATCTAGATTCTGAAAATTCCTTGCACTGCATCACAGGGTGCCTATTGCTATTATCTATAGAAATAATCCCTATAGTCCAATAAAAATAAAGTTGAATTTGCAACAGAGAAGGAAAGTAACAGTCATGTGTCTTTGCTATGTGTCTGCTTCAAAGGAATTATTTTAACCTCAGCTTGCCTCTCAAACATTTAACAGGCTATTTTTTATATTTCATTATCAGCATAAAACAGCCATATAAACTATTGCTTCTAAAATTTAAAAAAAAATTACTTTGGTTTGTTAATATTTCCTAACATTAACCATCATAATTATTTTCTGGCATAGAACTGTGTTCAATCCAAAGCAACCCACACAAAGCATTGTCTCCATGATTAAAAAAAAACAACAGTTAAAATGAGTAAGAAACTGGGATGCTGTTTTCAGCATATTACAGTAAACTTTGAGCAAACGCAATGCCTGAAAGCACTTTGCATCTAAAACAACCATTCTGCAAAATGCTTTTACACTTTCCTCATAAAAAGTTCCTGTTTGGAATAGCCTATGAGGTAAACACTTAGTCCTTATTCAGTGCTACATATATTACCTATTAGCTATCATCATCACAGAAGTAGAATACTTGGTAAAGTCTGGCACAGAGTAAATTGTTAGGTTGGATACAATTCAACCTTATGTAGTCATTCTCCTGCACAGGGTAACAGGATTTTAAAAGGTCCAATATTTTTTGTAAGGTACAAACTTTGGGCTCTTACTCATTTCTTTAAGAATAATATACTGATTCCTATATAATTAGAAAGCTTCCTTGCTCAACTAAGACTCCAGGCCCGCAATAGTTGCATAACAAGCTGAAATTGATATACAATTGTTCTTCCAAGAAAAACACTTATACATTGATTTCTACTCATTTCACAATTAAAAAGGGTTAGAATTTTAAAAAGTGATCTGCAAGCATTTGAAACTAGTACTCCAGTCGTGGTGGGGTTGAAGGCAGTTTCTTTTGTGCATAAGATTTTTTGATGCAGCTACCAAAGTAACGGGTTGAAATAGGAAGATAAACAGGAGTCAGTGAATGGCTGTAGGGAAACAAGGGTATCTTCACAATAAGCAGATCTTAAAGCGGGGAAGGGTAACATCACTTCACCTTAGATTACTAAGAACTTTTCTTCATAAAATTTAATAAAATCACATTCCTCCAATTATGCATATAAGGATACTAAAAAAGATGCTGGGAAACATAGTTATTTCAGCGGACGCTCCGCAACTCTTGCTGTCTCCATAAGTTCAACACGTGGAATCCACGTTGCTTTCTTCCTCCATTCGCAGTTCAGTAAGCCTTCCCTCTTTACGTCCTGCTCCATTCCTTCTTCTTCCCCCCACCTTTTCCAAAGAACCCATCTTACATTCCTCATACTTACTTTAACGTATCAATCGCACGCTTAAAGAAGACACCATTTGTTCCTTGACCCGGAACGGAAAACGATGCCGAAAAAGGGTAAAAGGAAGCGCAGCTGATTACCAAGGAATCATAGAGCAACGGCACTGATCGCCGTCACAAAAGGTAGGGACTGGTAATTTGACGAGCATATTCATAAACCAATGAAAAACAGCTTTTGGTACAGTTCCGGTTTAGATGAATAAACTCCCGCCCTAGCACATCAAAGATAGATAGGAAGGTTGGTTAATTGAATGACGCCATTTTGTACGTGAAGGGCATTGAGCCATTGATACCGGGCGGAGGTAGCTGATAGAAAACGCGGTGGGTGCCGCCTTGTTTTGTTATTAGTGTTTTTTTTGTAAAAGGGAATAATATTTCTCAGCACGCTTTGAAGTAAGTTAAACTTTGTCCATTGTAATATACAGTATAAATACTTAGGTCATGAATCCAATTTTGTTCTGCGTGGTTCAAAAGCTCTCGGTGATTTAAACAATTATTTGAAAGATTGTGTATATTTTTACAAACATACTAATTTTTATAGTATCCTTTTCAGCCAGAGCTTTCGAGTTATTTTGAATTACAGCTCTTATAATTACGGTGTCAGGCAACATGACAGAAGTTTGGATTTAAGGGAATTAAGATCTAACACATTTGGAGGGCACCAGGAGGGCGTAAGCTGATAATTTAATGCCTGATAAGTGTAGGATAATTTGCTGCCTGATAAATGGGAATGTGTGCTGGGGTATGCAAAACTACCTTATTTCCATCAACCAACATTTTGGAGTTGTATAATTATTTCTTGTTCCTGGATGATTAACATATTGATTCAGTTTATGTTTGTGCAGTGCTGTATGTCTTGTATCTGTGGTGAACCATCTTCATATTTCATATTTCCTGTTCTTAAGTGGATACAGATTTAGGTGGAAAAGGAATCTACCTGTGCTCATCTAGTTAGAAAGGTACTGGTAAGTTGTTTTGGTATAACAGACTATTTAGCTTTAATTGTTGCACTGGATTTATTTATTTATTCTCTCCCCCACCGCTGTATTCTGTGTCTCAAATCCTAAAGGGATGGATCCAGCAATTTGTATACCTCCAGACCTTCCTATTCACTGTAATCTGGTACAGATGTTTTTTTGCCCCTTATCTGGGAGATGAGGATTTGTCATAAACTTCAACCTTCATAATTTTGTAAAATGTTAATTGACCCTTAAAAGTTATTGTCCCAATAGGATGTTGCTTTTTTAAAAAACTGTCAGCACAATTGCTTTTGCTTTTTATGTTCCTGGCTGGCGAAGCTGGAGTTCTAAGAAATACCCACAACATCCTCCTACGCCAAAATCAACACCACCCCATATCCCAGCAAAGAGTACGAGCAGAACACTTTTGTTCCCTGTTGTGTACTGTAGCTCCCTCTCCTAGTTGCATGCACCTTCCCTTTTTATTTTTACTGAATGTCTGGAGGTGTGGTAAGCCTGGGAAAAGACGAAGCTAGGTAATAATATCTCGATTCTCACCAGGTTGCTTTTGATGGTACTGGGGAACAGATTGGTCCATTCCAAAAAACACTGCAGGAGAGGTTAGAGGTCTTGATCCTGCCCACTGTCTTGTCTAGCTCTAACAACTTGATGAAGGTGTCCAGTGGGAGGAACAAACCATTCTCTGGTGGAGAGAAAGTGGCTGAGCTTCAACTGTAGAGGGCCCTAGAAGAAACATTATCTGAACACATTTCAGTCTGATTTTAAGTCCACATTCAACATAGAGATGGTATTGATTGCACTTATTTATGAGTTCTGTTCCTCCTGGTCCTGCTTGATCTCTCAGTTGCTTTCAATACCATCTATCATGGCATTCTTTTGAATCATCTCCGAGGATTGGGGGATAGTTCCAGTGGTGGGAGGGAGTGATCAAACCCTAGGCTCCTTAATTGGTGAAGGGGGTGGTGGTCCTGCAGGGCTCAATTCTCTCCCCAGTCCTATTCAACATTTATGTGAAGCAGCTGGTTAAGATCTTTCATCAGGTCACTGATGATATATATCTCGACCTCTAGTCAAATAAGTGATGCTGTCAAGATGCCTGGAGACTGTCCAAGACTGGATGGAGAGGAACAGGTTAAGACTCAATCCCAGCAAGACAGAGTGACATTGGGTTTCAAGACCTGTCAATTTCAGTGAGATTCCATTGTTAACTCTGAACAGGTGAAACTGGTTCACAATTTAGAGTTCCCCTTGAACTCATAGCTCCTGCCCAAGGAACAGGTGGCAGATGTGGACCAGAGGGTATTTGTACAGCTTCATCTTGTGTCTCAGTTGCACTCTTTCTTAGAATGAAAGGAATTACTGTTACTTATGCTTTAGTCACCTCTCAACTGGATTATTGCAATGAACTCTGTATGGGAATTTGGAACCTGCAGTGGTTGGGTAGTAATTGGCACCTCCAGGCACATATATAACACTTCTCTTCTAAGAGCCACATTGGTTATCTGTTGGTTTCTGGATGCAATTCAAGGTGCTGGTTGTCATCTTCAAAGCTTTTCATTTTGGGCAGTCTGATTATCTGTGGGACAGCCTTCCAGTAACATCTGTCCACCTGATAGGATCCAATAGGGCAGGTGATTTAGGTGTCCCCTTAATTACAGATTTATTACCTTCAGGGACTTGTCAGCATGGCTTCTCAGTGCCCCCCCCCCCTTGTTATAGCATTCCCCCTGTGGCCCCTTCCCACCTGGCTTCTAGAAAATTAGTAAAAACTTGGTTGTTTCATCAAACCAGAGGAGTTGGATTATTTGGTTCATGAGACTGGGTCTTTTATTAAGCATGGCTAACTAGAAGCCTGGTCTAAATTTTTAAGAGCAGTATTCTTAAATTCAGTTCACCTTCATAATTTTTGAATATTTACATATTTAGAGTCTATTTCATTAGTAGATAGCGTATGTATCATTCATTCAAAGCTGTTCTGTCCCTTAATGACTCAGGGCAACCTACAGGAGTAAAGTTAAAATGAAAAAGATAATTAAAACAAACTGTGAAACAATGTATTTTAAAACAATTAAAAGATTGAAGGCCTGAGTTAATAGATATGTTTTGAACCCCTCCTAAACTATAATAAGGATAGGGATTGCTTCAACTTCCATAGCAATTTGTTCCTCAGCTATGAGCTTTGCCAAAGCAGAATTAAGTATCTGCTGCAGAACCTGTAAAAGATGCCCCATTGATGATTCAAGAGTGGAAGGCAGATTGTATGGGAGGAGGTGGTCTTAAAAGTGTCTTAGTCCTAAGCTATTTAAGCTTTTATATACCATTGTGAGTACTGCTGGGAGTTGGGGCAGCATATAAATTTAATAATACCTTGAATTGGGCACCTTGACCAGTGAGTTTGTTTACACATGGCATGGAGGATATGTGGGATGTGTGGGATCTTCAAGAGGTGCTGTGAATTCTGCTGCACTCTATGCCTGCTGCAACTTTCAGATTATATTGAAAAGCTGTTGCCCAAAGGACACATTGCAGTAATCCAACCTTGAGGTTTACTGGTGCATCAGATACTGAAGCCAGGTCTCTCTCTTCCTGGTACAAAAGCAGTTGCTTTATCAGCCAAAACTGATAAAAGGTTCTCTTTGCTACTGGTGTCATTGCTATTCTGCCCAGTGTTGGATCCAGGAGGATCCCAACCTGGAAACCTGATCCTCAAGGGAGAGTGCAACCCTGTCCAAAAGAGGTATTTTTCTTGGAATCAGTAATAGTTCTACCATGTCTCAATTAAATTTCATTTGTTTTTTGTCTGGGCTAAGTATCCACGGGCCCTTCTTATCAGGCTTCAGGTACAATACATGCTGCTACTTGTGATAGAACTGCAAGAAAGCAAATAAAGCTAAGCTGTGTAGCTGCTAGTGTGTTAGTTGTTAATTGTTTACCAGTTACTAGTGAGTTTGTTATGTATTAGGAATGCACTCAGATTCAGATGTATATAAATGAACAACATTATTTTAAACTGAAATTAAGATCAGTTTCTGTTGCATCTAGACCAAGCAATAATGGCAGGACATGATTCTGGAACACAACACCAATTTACCGGATTTAAGAAATACTTCAATAGCTATACAACAATAGGCAGAAGAAATGTAAGTATCCAACATTATAACTTTTTACAATATCCCTTTGAAATTTTGACTGATCTGACCTGTATGTATTCTGTTTTTAGTATGTGCTACTTACATATGGAGGCATTCTAATGATCATCCTGGGATTTAAAATGAGGAAACCTAAGAAGGAAATTTCACAAAAATAAGTAAGTGTCATATCATCTGGTGAATAAACAGTAACCTGGGTCTATTAATACTGGACCTTAACATCTCTAAAATATCTCTAATGCAGCCTTTTTCCTAGTTTTATAGTTACACAGAGATTTTATGAAGCTGACCTAAGAAAAGGGTTTAATTACAGGTCGTCCTCGTTTAGCTACAATTGGGACCAGCAACTCAGTTGCTAAGTGACATGGTCACAAAGTGGAAAATAGGTGACCACAACTGTGCTTACAATTTTATTTTAGCTTTCCTTTGCTTTACAGCGTCAGAAAGATACAAACAGCCGAGTAAGCCCAAATGGTGGGGAAGGTTTCCAGAACTCAACTCACAAGGAAGCCAAGTAAAAGGGCAAATTTTGTAGCCCTTTCTTCCCACTCCCCCGCCCTTTGGAATGCTCACCCCAGCGCTGGGATAATTAACAAGGGAATTAATGCTTATATTTACATTCATTGGAGAGGAAGAGATTTCAGGAGAGTAAGCAGGCACACAGTGGGGAATACACATTGAAACAGCACCAGCTGTTTGCTTAGCAGGCTCCCAGCTCTGAGCCACTAGCAGCTTAGAAGGCAAAGCCAAAGGTGCGAATCTGATTGAAGTGTTGTCAGTTACAGATGGTCACAGAGCTGTGCTTGTTAACTTGTGGTTAGTACTTTTTAGGGCCAAGCTGTGCTCTGGACAAAAGCAGCTCAAGAAGTGACTGCTTCTTTAGGCAAATTATCCTCTCTGTAGGGAGGGGAAAAAGAAGATAAACAGGTCAGGCACAGGATAACGCATACTAACGGACTATAATGGCAAATACATGACTGAGAGACATGCTGCAAAGGTCATAAATTTGGGCTTTAGTTGCAAAGTTACTTTTTCATCGCTGTTGTAACTTCAAATGGTCACTGCCTGAGGCAGTCACTAAGCAAGGTCTACCTGTATTAGCTGTTGCTAGTGAATATATTGAGACTTACCCTACTTTGTTTTCAATCTGGCAATATATAGTTGCATGCTTTGAATTTTGGAATTCCTCACTTAACGAAGAACTTTTCTGTCACTTCTGATAGCCACCAGTGAGCTTATTTTTATTTTTATCTAGCATCTACAGGTAATCCTTGCTTAGCAGCCACAATTGGGCCAGCAACTTGGTTGCTAAGCGCTGTGGCTGTTAAGCAGAAAATCACGTGGCTGCAATGGGCTTGCGACCTTGCTTCCCATTTGGTTGTTAAGTGAAGCACCATGGTCGCTAAGTGAAACATCACATGACTGCGAGTTACAATTTTACTTCTGCATTCTCTATTAACTGCTTGTCTCAAGCCAGCTGCGAAGCACATGAATGATGATCATGTAATCGCGGAACACTGCAATGGTTGTAAATGCGAGAATTGGTCACAAAGCTTTTTTTTTTTTACACCATTGTAAGTTCAAATGGTTGTTAAACGAGGCAGTCAGTAAGCAAGGACTGCCTGTACACCTGTTACCTCATTTCGTAAGGGAGAATTGGGTCTTAAATAGAAGTTATGCTAGATGATGTGTTGATTGAAGGTTTTTTTTTCTTGGACAGGTTCTTGTCGTTGGACCTTCTCTGTTGTATTGCTGTCTGTGAGTTGCAGAAGCTGATGCATAGTTCAGTAAATCATGAAAAATGACTAAATTTGCCTTTAGTATCAGTCAATGAATGAAAACTCTCCAAATTTCTGGTGTATATTATTAATTTAAAAAGCCCTCTCAATCATGAGGGTACAGTTTTAGGCATTGCAATAAACCATCTGCTCCAGAATAAAAAAAGTGACTGTTGTTAACATGAAAGCAAGATCACATCTCTGCCTTAACAGTTTTGAGCACTGATTTATTTCACTGAAAGTATTTTCAGCTATTCTGCCTTTCTAAACAAACAGAACAATCAAGGCAGCCACTATAAAATATATAGACAGAAAATAAGCTAAAATAGCACAATTTAAAAAAAGAATTCCTTTAGAACAGTTCAGGAACGTCTGCTTAAAAAGATGCGTCTTAAGGTTTATATCTGAAGATCCTAATGTATGGACAAGTTTATAATGAGAAATATAATCTGTTAGATGGTAGATTATAGGCCTTTTAGAGCTTGCAATGTTAAAATAGTAACTTTTGGCCTATGAGGTTTTGCACGTATCTGTGGGTACACACACATACACATGCCCTGCTGCTTTCTTCATCCACCATACCTTGTGACAGACTTTTTTACAAGTGAAGGGACATATCAAAAACAAAGCAAATGTTAAGAAAATACAATTCTGTAGTTCTTTTCTGTACTAATAAAAATGGGATTTGTAGTACCTTTTTCCAGTTAACCATGCTATATAATTTTAAGTGTGGAATTTTAATAGATTGCCAAATAGATTAGCATTAAAAGTTGATCAAAAAGATTAAAAATACCTAGTGTCTGTCCCAAATAGAGGTCTATCAAATCTATAAATGCCCATAGTAGGTGGCATAACTAACCAACCTTGGCTATCCTAGAAAGCTAAGCAGGTTCAAACTTGGTTAGTACTATTATTAAGGTTTTTATCCTATTATCTATCTGTTTGTCAACTCAAAGTAGCAAACATGGCTAATACTCCTGCCTCCTATTTTCCCCACAACAACTACCCTAAGAAGTGGGTTGAGCTGAGAGAGAGCAACTGGCCCAAAGTCACCCAGCCAGCTTTCATGCCTGAAGGAGGCCTAGAACTCACAGTCTCCTGGTTTCTAGGGTAGCACCTTAGCTACTACACCAAACTGGCTCTACTTGTATAAAAGACCATTAGAAAAGGTCAGAGCTGTAGACTTGGCAATTGAAGAACATCCTGGAAGATGGAAATAACGAACCACATTTATATTGTTGCCAGTAAAACTACATGGAGAGTCCACTACTTAAACACAATTTGAAGGATTTTTTTAGAATATAAAGGAGATAGTCTTTTCCTACTACTTATTCCTGCATCAAGCACTTTAAAAGTATATTGCACACAAGTGTTAGCTTTTAATCCCTAGTGAACATGTCTTCTCTTTTATTGGGTACCATCAGTCATAATTCAGTTTTTAAAAAATTTAAAATGCTCAAAAATTGATGACTTGAAGATTTATGCCTACTGCCTATTCCCTCTACTAAATCATAGTTCAGTGTTATATGTGAATCAGACCTAATTCTAACTGTACTCTGTCTGATGTTCTATGTGAATATCCTTTTCATTATCCTAACCATCTGGAATGTAGATGCAAGAATATAGTTTACTCTGCAGTCTTGGTTTGTTTTAGGGGAACAAGTTAACTAATCACAGCAAACATTCTTCAAAAGCGTAAAGCTTCTGTAAAACAAGGAATCTGTTCACAGGTGCATATTTTTGTTTCAATTCAGCGATAAGTGCCAGCATCATATAATCCTGGAAACGTTAGCAGAATGTTTCCACAAATTACATTATCTGAGAACTATTTCACTGTTTTATAATTTCTTTGTAACTACAGGCAGTCCTTGGTTAACAACCACTAATTCAGCAACCGAATTTGCGACAGTGCTGAACAAGTGGTACTTACGACTGGTTCTCAAAGTTCCGGCCATCGCACCACCCCCGCAGTCACATGATCAGTGTGGGCACTTGGCAACCAGTTCACACAACAGTTGCAGCATCCCGCAGTCATGTGATCGCCATTGACAACCTTCCCTGCTGGCTTCCCACAAGCAAAGTCAATGGGGAAGCCAGCAGCAAAGGTTGCAAGTCACTCCAACCACTTTTTCTCCTGAGGAGCCCTGCTACAGAGTATGAGTTCTTAGGGTCACAGCACCTCACAGTCCACACACACTCGTGCAGCACCACAGCACCCCTCCCCCGGCCTGCACGCATTCACTGCAGCACCCCCCCACCTCACTCCTAGTATTCACCCGCCTTCCGGCATGCTTGCAAGCTGCCTAGCACTAGCAACTTTGAGCAGGATTTCCCACTGATTTTGCTTGTGGGAAGCCAGCAGGAAGTTGCAAGTTGCAGTCACATGATCTCCTCACTTAACGACCCACAATTTTTGCTTAATGACAGCAACAGGAGCTGCCAGAATTGCAGTCACTAAGCGATCCGGTCATGTGACATCACGCTTTACGATTGCATTGCTTAGTGACAGAAATTTCAGTCCAATTACCATCTTTAAGCAAGGACTACCCGTACTCTATCATTGCATTAAGATATGTTACAGTTATACTAAGGTAACTTCTTATAGAACCATGTAAAGATAACTCATTTAGATGGTAAGATATATACAGAATTTTTATTATAAAGATATAAAACTGTATAAAATACAAAATCACAATTATTTAAAAAATACATACTGGATCCATACTGCTTGATTTCAACACTCAATGTATAACTGATATATTTCAATGAAAGCATAAACCAAGAATTATTATGAAAAAAATTTAAAGCCAGCTATTTTTCTCTGACTCACATTTGAATAATCGTATTTCTGTGACAATAGTTTTTATTTCTGTAGAACAATATTCAGAATTCTTAGAGAAGCCAGTTTCTCTGTTAAAAGTGTTAAGTAGCATTTATAAAGTCCATCTTCTAAAATGCTACTTATTTTAGTAATTCCCAATACCTATGCAGTTATATAATGTGATCTTTTAAGCTCTGGGGTACTTAAGTCAAAGAATCATTCTGGCTTCCTTGCTACATAAATGCAGCACACTGCTCTGTACATTCTACTCTCCCAACTTTTTTGAACAAGTTTTACAATAAATATTTGTATATGTATCATACAACCTATGACAATGTTGGGAAAGATGTCCCAGGGACCATACGGGAAAGGGAAAAAATGATTGACTAGAAGCCAGAAGGACTACTTCCTAGACATGGTACACAAACTAGGTGCCTACAGTATCTATACTACCCTTGCACCTGGCATCAGTTAATTCCTTCCTTCTGATTTCAGTGGAAAAGACTATACAAATTGAAAGGGGGGGGTGGAGAAAAGCAGAAATGCCACTCTTCTTTCTGCCTTGCTATACTTACAGTTTGCACTCTTTGTACCAGTAGAATTTCAGTTCATTTGTTCAATATATTAATGGCAGTATTCAGTAATGTGAAGATCTAAGCTTACTTTGTAAGACTTGCATAATCAAGCCACCTATTTTTGTGTTTTACTGAGGACTATAAGCCCCAGCAGCAAGAAGTAAATTTCTTCGGGTAAAGTGGAGATGTATAACAGGGGTTGATTTGGTCATATATGTGCCCAACAGCAAGTCCTGTGAACTTTCAGGAAGGTTTATGTGTCCAGTGGCTGTTGTAAAATCATCTGTTTCTAAGTCCTCAAAAGCTTTCACAGCATCCCAGAGTCTAACTGTGTTGTCCATTGAACCTTGGAAAAAACACATGAAGAATGTCAAAAATAGCTATTGCAATTACCAGTTCATAGTATCAGTGAATTCTATACACATTCACTATAGTCAACTTGTCAAACTTAGTTTAGCATTCTTTGAAAAACAAACATTATTTATCATTGCTAAATGCAAAAGCAACGTTATGTATTGATTCAGAAAACGAGAGTGCTGAATATCCCTGTTAATGCTTGGACCAGGAAAAATTATGTTGGAGGTTGAAGAGCCTTTCACTTGGACCTGAAGAATGAACATATCCAAAGTTTCAAAGTATTGTGGTGGTGGCTTCTGTAATAAACCTTTTACCACTCCTAATTATTTTTCCAGCTTTATCTGTCTCACACAGAAAGGCATTAATACTACAGTGAGATTTAACACCTTTTCCTCAAGGGTGTTGGAAGGGAGGTTTAGTAACATCATATATGTGAAGCATCTCTGTCCATGTTGGACGAAGCTATCGACTGTTTCACACATCTTACCACACTTAGTGCTCTGAGTTAACATTTGCTCTCCCTGCCAAATGTACAAGTTGGTGTGCAATGGAGTTTGTGTACTTTATAATCGTCACTTTGTTTATTGTTTGTATTTTATGTGTGTTTTCTTTTGGTCTTAGACTGTATATTCAACTAAATTAACTAGGAGTGTTTAATATACCATGAATTTATGAAGAATTTATAAAAGGGGCCATGTTTGGAAGATACTTTATCAAAGTTTCTTTAAAATGAAAAATAATTGAAGTCACCAGAAACATTCAAGCAAAACTTCTATTCTAGCAATAGCAGAAGTCCTGTTCTCATAGCTTTCTAAAAATGTAGTTATTACGACCCTTGTAAGCGCCATGTATATAACACTGTCATGTAAAACAATTTTACCTGCCCAGTAGTGCTGATAGAAAAATGTCTGAATTAAAAGGAGTATACTACAGGTTGCAACTTCATTTCATGAAGCCCACTTGATTAAATTATCTAAAAAAAATTCTGATCTGTAAATGAAAACAATTGTACAAAGACAATCCTAACAAACCAGTTTCATAATTGCACAAAAGTTCCCTTCCAAAGGCTCACTGCTACCTAACAAATTTATTGTAGCCTCCTGGATGAATGAGACCATTTACAATACTAATGTAACTATTTCTGCAGTTGCTTCTCATCTTTAGAAGTGAGGTGGAACACACAATAGAGAATGACCATATTCTAGTTGATAACATTATTTTTCTAATAAATTTTTGAATCATACCTGAAGCTAAGATTTCTCCATCTCTACTGAATTTGAGTGCATAGATGGTGTCTGAGTGTCCTTTTAACTCTCCTACCATTAAACCATGGCCGATATCCCACAGAAGCACTCTTCCATCAGTTGCTCCAGTTGCCAAGAATCTTCCATTAGGAGAAAACGCTAATGAATGAACTGGTCCCTAGATAAACAAAACAAATTGTAGACTGAAAATAATTTGTAATGTTCACACTTAAACATACTTAGTTATCACATACTAAACCTGTTAACCATTCCCATACAGTTGCATGTCTTTGTTGCAACAATTGGAATTTTTCATCTACAATCACGATCAGATCAATAATAGTTTCCAATCTCCAACACAATCCAGAAATAGTTGGGTAAAGTACATTTAATTTTCTAATTCCTAATTATCTGTTTCAGCCCAGAATCCAAATAATGAATTTAAGTATAACCAGAAGAATGTTTGATTTTAGTTTTTTAATTGCAAACAGTAATGAATCATAACTGCAAGCTCTATATACGGTAAAGTAGTTCTCTCCCACTAGCATTGGGTAACAGGCTGGAAACCATCACTTTTGGGCAGAAGGTAGAGTTTCCCCCGTCTCTTGATTTGGTCTGGCATCAGGCTATTTGCTTGTCCCTCTGTGAAAACTGGCTTTCATACATTTCTGTCATGAGGGACCTCAAAAGCATCCCTTCATGAAAGGGACGTGCAGATAGTCTCTGAAGGAGACTGGCTTATAGACAGACTGGGCATAAGCAATGTCAATTTGCATACATTATAAGTAGCACTGCTATTTAACCTGTTCCTGGAAACAAACTGGCAACTGATACATCGTCATATCACTGCTGCTATAGCTGTCTCACAAGCATATAGATTGTCACATTCTACATTACTTAAACATTTCTAAGTAGTCTTCAAGGCCAGTCTCGAGTACAGGTGCATTGTAGTAGTCCAACTTTGAAGTGATAAGGGCATGAGTGACTATTGCTAAGGCCTCCCACTTTAGAAAAGGTCACAGTTGGTGCACCGGTTAGAGCAAGGTGCCACAGACTCTACTTGCTGTTCTTACTAGAAATGTTTAACATTTCACTAGAAAGCTTCCTAATAGGCAGAATTCTCATTGTATTTGCTCTCAGCTTAGCCATAACATGGAGTTGGCTTGATAGGTACAGACATGGTAAACCATAAAGTACCTTGTTTTGGGCTTAGCATGATGTGCCAATCAAACCATTGTAGTTTTTAAAATCAGGGTCAGTTATGTTCAGTAAACCATGGCTTGGTGGAATATGTGAACCTGTTTTATTATGAGGAAACAACTTCTGTTTGACTAATTTTTAAGTGAAAAGTTCTAGGAGAACATGTTAGAGGAGGCCTACTGGATTAAATTAAGGATTCTTGTAAGAGTAAATTGTGGCTCACTTGCAAACCCCATCATGTTTCCCCTAAAAACTGCATTTACAAGTTACAACTTGAATATGAGAGTGTCTGTCAGTCTGTCAGATTTTGAGGCCTCTTTAGTGCAAAAAGACTGTGGGCAGCTTACAATATTTAAGAGTACACAATTTAAAAGAAACATGACCACCCAGAGAAAACCACATAAATAACATCCAGAAAAAAACTGAGAATTAAAGAGAATTCCAGAATGTGATGGGTGGGAGCCATACACATCTGTTAGATTAGTTGTAAAATCGAATAATTTCCATATGAGTTTGACATTAATCTACCTTATGTCCTGTGAAGATTCTTACACAATTTCCATTAAGTACATCCCAAAGCCTCACAGTTCTGTCTGCTGAGCCTGTAGCAATGTAGTTGGAGTTTGGGTGAAAACGCGTACATGTGACATCTGCAAGATGACCAGCAAAGATCCGCAAAGGCTGATAGTGATCTGTAGCCCACAAACTTTAATCCAGTAGAAAGAACATTTCATAAAGGGGAAAGAAGAGATTGTATTAAAAAAATGAAATACTGCCTCCTTTGTCTCTTATAAATATAAACAGAAGTATTTTTAATAAATTATCATATAACTCTATAGTACAAGACACATTCTAAGCTATAGCAGCAACTAACATAAAAGATTTCCTTAGCTCAAAATAAACAGTTCTGGGATTGTATCTAGATGAGAAACCTGTGCTGATTCTTACCGAGCTATTCTGTCATGACCACCAGATACAAAGTAATATCCATACGGAGAGAATTGTGTGTCCCATACAGGATAGTTGTGTCCTTTGTATCCCACCAAACAAGAAAAAGTTAGAAGACTCCACAATCTGATAGTGCCATCCTCTGAAGATGATAGCAAATAGTTCCTGACAAAACAAGCAAAAACAAAAATCTTAATCCTAAACGTTTATCACAAAATACATCTAGCCACCCAAAGACCATCCTGCAATATCAGGCTGAGGGGTTGTGAACAGGGGATTTTCCAATTCAGTTTTAAGCACTACATTCATTAGAAAATTATATAATGTTTTGCTGACTCACTTTAAATAATTTCATACATCCCCCCCCCCATTTACAGATAAGCTGTTTTGTGTAGTATAACATACTTTGGTGTTTAATAGAATTCTCTTCACCCTGGTTTTTGAAAAATGTTACTTCCTTTTCATGATGTCCCTATGTAGATCTTAACTTTACACTTATGGCATATAGAATACTAAACCATTTTGATCCATGAAATAGAGTGAGTCTGAAATCATGCAAATAGGTCCAGTTCAACTAATACAGCTAGATTATGTTTTAGAAATATTAAACTAAGTTTTTTTATAACTTGTGAGCTACATCTGCATTACCCAGTATCTGTTAATGCAAGCCTACCTCCTACTATAATGCAAGATGTGTTGTTTATTATACAATATATAAGTTCTTATGTTCAGAGGCTGTAGCAAGAAGTGAACAGATACTAGGTGAACACCAACTTAGCAGCACTGATTAACATGCACTTTTATGCAATTGCGGTATCATTTCCACTGTAATATTTTATTATTATACAAAGCCTAGCCAAAAGATAGGGCTTTCAAATAAGTAGTGGAGATATAATCAATTCAAGAATGTTTTAACAGCTCAATATGGACCTCATGTTTGGCTATGTAAGAAACCCAAGATGTTATAATATTTGATGGAATCAATGTTTGAAATTAAACCCACATCCTTTCTGTATCAAAAATTAAACAATATTTTAAAGTTGACAATAAAGACCATTTATGGTTCATGGATTAAAGAACTGAAATATCTGATAATGGGACATCAATGGTTGCAGGTCTTAAAAAATGTTAAATTTGCTTCAGTGGATTTAAAATTAAAAGTGATTTCATTTCAAGTTTATTGGACACTCCAAAGAATGTATTCAAAACAACAGATGTCAGTTTTTCTCTGTTGGCGATATAAAACTTTTGAAGGATCACTGGCTCATATGATTTGGTTCTGTGAATCACTGACATCTTTTTAGAAATATGTGAATGTACATAAGTAGATTTATGGGAAATATTTTAGTGTTAAAGATGTTAATTTTAGGATAAATTAAATTATTTTTGAGGAGTTATGGTTGTATCAGGCCTGGGGAATTGCTAAGAGAATTATTTTAAGAAATGGGAAAAACATTAATATTCCTAATAATAAGGATTGGATTCAAGAGATGTGTGACTTATCCTATTTTGAAAAGGCAATGTTATCTACTAAGCAAAAAAATTACAATTTTTTTTTTTGTGGCAAAGATTTTATGATACTTTGTAATATTAGAGAAATATTATTCTTTTTCCTTAAGTGGATTTAGAAATCTGTTTGACATTTGATTAATATGTGACATATTGTTTCCCCGTTTTTTATTTGTGTTGTATTATTTATTTAATTTTGTTAACTTGGGTAGCTATATTTTTTGTTTTTTTACATTTTTCTGATTTTTTTTATATTTTATATTTTTTCTATTTCTTTCTGTAAAACTTGTTAAATAACAAATTTTAATAAATTTAAATATTAAAAAAGAGAGAAGAAAAAAATGATTATTAATAGTGGTTTTGAATTCCCGCTTATTAGTTGGGATTTCTTTTAATTCTCCATATAGTTGTCCATAGGTTCAGTGAGTTATGAATTCAAAGTGTCAATTTGGCAGATCTCAGATTATAGGCTTTAAATGATTTATACAAAATATGTCTAAATACTAGATGCTTCTGCTCATGTATAAAATCCACAAAATATGCTTGCATAAAATCTTGTCTGCTTTAACAGATACCCCTTCCCCCATAGCATTTACTGTAATACTTCAGTGAAATGGTATTAATGTTCACTGTAATACTAAGTAAAACTGGTATTAATATTCAATACTGTTTTAAGAGATCGCCTTAAATTAAAGATTAAAAGAACTACTATCTTACCTATCAGGGCTAAAGCTAGCACCATAGACAGGCCCACTATGACCATATAAAATCTTCAATTCACTAGCTGTTTTTTCATCCATGATTCTTTCTAAAACATCATCAGATTCTTTATCTATGAGACTGAGATCTGAAAGGGAAAAAAAAAATCCTAAATTTCATATTCAGTATAAACTAGTAGTACATGTACTTATTATTTCCTACCAAAAGACAATAGGTTAAAAAAATTGCTACAAATACAGCAATTCAATACCTGTGAAATATTTAAGCCTTTAATTTAAGACATCCTCAATTAAAGCAAGTATATGTAGAATACTTTGGGTGACCTATTGATAGTTAATAGGCCTGCACAGATTTCATTTATGTTCTTTGCTTTTTGCAAAAACACAGTATTAGTGATGTGCAAAACTCAATGATTCAGGAATTGAATCTTCCTGAGAATTTGGGAACATTCTATTACTCCCCAGGACCATGACAAATAGAGCATGCATTTCAAGAGCCGGTTCGTGGAAGTATATCCTTTGAAGCAGAAGAGGTTCAGTGCGTCCCAAATATGGTGTTCCAGATTAAATAAGCCTGTTTCAGATCCTTATCATCCCCAAGATAGGGTTTTTACTGTTTGTGCGCTGCCCAGGGTTGTTGCTACAATGGAGGATATATAAATCTTATAAAATAAAATAAAATAAAATAAAATATAAATTTCAAACCATGTCTGGTTCAAAATATTGTACTTGCTTCCAGAAAAAATGAAACTACCCAAAGAATATCATGGTTCTGAAGGAATGTTGGCATGGTTGGGAGGGAGAAGGAAACATTCCCAATGTTCTTTACAATGTTCCAGTACAAAATCAGTGAGTCTTGGACTTTTTGGCGGGGGGGTGTCTTCGAGTCAGCGTTGACTCCTAGTGTCTGCATTGACAAGTCCCTGTAGTTTTCTTGGCAAGATTGCAGAAGTGGTTTGCCATTGCCTCCTTCCTAGGCTGAGAGAGAGTGACTGGCCCAAGGTCACCCAGCTGGTTTCATGCCTAAGGCAGGACTAGAACTCACAGTCTCCTGATTTTCAGCCTGGTGCCTTAATCACTACACGAACCTGGTCTCTTTGTTCATCTGTACACAATACTTTAAGGCTGCATCTGCAAACAGGATGCATATTATGATATTCAAAAAATGTAATAATTGGTTCACTAAATATGGTACCTTGGTTCACTAAATATGATTCACCAAATATAGTTTTTCCAATATATATATTTATACACAAATACATTTTGCAAAGGTATTAATCAGTGGGTCTTAAACAACATTAAAGGGTTGTTAAGCAATTAAAGAAATATGAATGCTTAAATTGCAAAGAAATTATTTTGGTCATTATTTTAGTATTTGTCCCTTTAGCTTAGTACTGCTATTCCAACAAAATGATTTCATGAGAAACCTCTCTCCAAACAGCTATTGTGAAAATTGAAATGAGAGTTTATTTTTATTACCTGTGGCTGATTTCACACTGCGAAGCTTTTTGGGTGTCACAGACCATACCCTGACAGTGGAATCAGCAAAGCCTCCGACAATCATGCTAGAATCATCTGTAACATCCACAGCTGTAAGGCCCTATTTGCATGAACCACAATTAAGCACTTTTATTTTAAATACAAAGTTAAAGCACAATGCCAGATTGCAAGCCACCAATAAACCATCATTTATCAGTGGCCTATGGAAATGGATATTATTATATTACAAAACATTAGAAATACTTTCCTTTCTAGCAAATGTTGACAAGTCTCAAACTTTTAGCAAGAGCCAGATTTTTAGTTGGCCTTCATAATGCTTTCTGCTTTTTTTTTTTTTCTTTTCATAATATGGCTTTCTGATTTATCTGGGCAAGCACAAAGGTCTTGTGGGGGGGAGTAGTTTTCACAGTAAATCAGGATTAAGATATGTAGTGTACCCATCCTAGTCCTGCTGGACCCCTCAATGGTCTTTGATGTCATCAACCATGGTACCCTGGATTAACTGCTGGGGCTGGGGGCCAGAAGCATTATTTTACAGTGGTTGCATTCCTGCTTCAATAGGTAGTTCCCGTCAGTGGTCACTGGGAAGAAGAGGTCGGCCCAGTGGGTTGCTACAGGTTGATCCACTATCCCCACTGTTTATATTTACATGATGTCATTCAGAGAGGTCATCAAGAGGTTTGCAATGCAATATGCTGACAATAATTCATTTTATACTGGCCCACCAGGAGATGTTGCTGAAGTCTTGTCTCAGTGCCTGGAGGCTGTGAGGGTCTGGATGGGAGGAACATGCTAAAGTTGTACAAGCAAGATTGAGTTACTGTTACCCTATCATCATCCTTTGTTGGCTTTAGAGTCGTCACTTGAAGGGTGGAGGCTGTGACCATTAATGCCTTCACTAAGCTCTGAGTATGTCAGCTGTGGCCCTACCTTGGGGCAAGAGGACTTGGCTATAGTGACACATGCTTTTATCAACACCCAACTGGACTTCTATAATGCAGTCTACATGGGGTTGCCTTTGAAGATTACCAGGAGGCTCTAGTTGGTTCAAAATGCAACAGTCCACTTATTAGTGGTCTCTTGTTATTTTGAGCAAGTTAATACCTATTTTGTGGGCCCTGCCTGGTTGCCAATAGTTTTCAGGGCACAATTCAAAGTGCTAGTGTTCACTTATATAGCCTATATGGCTTGACAGCAAGGTATCTTCATGACTGTCTGCTTCAACCATTCAACTATTTGAAATGAGCCGCCTGGGAGAAATTGCTAGTTTTGCCCCGTTATCATGACATGAGGGAGAGCTGAGGCCAGAAGCCACTGCTTTTTGGTCATGGCTCCAACACTTTGGAAAAGTGACTTTGGCCTCTGAAAAGTGGTTAAAGCTGAGCTTTTCAGAAGGCTTTGGAAGTGAGATTGTTGCCACTGTATTAACAGTTTCAGTTTAATATTTAATGTGGTGTGCATTGTTATTTTTATCAGTAATATAGTGTTGTTTCTGTCATACCTTGGATGTTTTAATTTTTACAGTATGTTTTCTCTCCCTGTAAGCCACCAGGAATCTTGAAAGATTTGACAGCTATATATATTCAAAAAAGAAATAAATAAGACAAAAGTTACAAGCTTCATTTAATCTGGGTGGCTTCAAAATCTAGTGAGAAGAGAAAGTTTAACAATGCAGTCTTTATTCATTTATTACTGGGGCGAAGGTAAAGAAGCAGTGCAAGGTCCTCTCCCTTCCATCATACAATATGATATATAGGCCTCCAGATACACAGCTATTGCAGAAGCCCTATTTATGTGTTTTCAAAAGGACTGCAAGAGGGGCCTCCCAAGTTAAAATACAAATGGGGCCACCTGGACTAAAACACAAAAAAGGCATGAGGCTTTGGTCCATATTATATGATGGAAGTGGGAGGGGCTCGTGCTGCTTTCTCACCTTGTAAATGTCTCCAGAAATAAACAAACAAAGATCATACCATTAATCGTTATCTTCACACTAGGTTTTGAAGCCACTCAGAAGAAGGCTTGGACTGGTGTCCACAAATAAAGTTTGAACTTTTTGATATTTAATGTTTTTTATTTGGAAGACCTTGAAAAACTATTTTTGTTCTTCAGCAGTAATTTATACGTCTTTTGAATTCTCTCTGCAGTCACCAATTCAAGCCTTCATGCAAGGCTATGCTGTGATCTGATTCATTGTCAATTCCCCACACTAACCTGGTATGCATTAAGAAATGTGTAGAAGCAAATAGAAGGCAAACAATCTGGACCAAGCCGAACACGCTTAGTGGCTTCCTTCATATTCATTATTTTATCCAGCTTATCAGAATCCTTTAGCTCAGGAAGAGGGATTCTACATAAAGAAGAATATGCTTCAAAACACACATAAACATTTTCAACCTTATTGAGCAGATGCCAATCCTTAAGCAGATATCAAAACTTCATCACCCTCTACCTGGAGAATGGTAAACCTTTGCATTCTAGTATAGACTAGATGGTGACTCGCATAATTTATAGTTTCTCAATTCCCTTCCCTGCTTGAATATCTCTTTCCGCAGAAAGCTAGTTATCACAGTGGTGGAAATGGAGGAACATTCAAGCATGTGAGAGCTGCCACCTGCAGTTTGAAATGTCACACTTAAGTAGGAACGGCACCTAAGCAATATGAAAGAAAGTTAAGAGAAGTTCTATGTTTCAACATTACCTATTCTGAGGAGGAGCATTTGGATCCTGCTTTTTACTTTTTGATCCCATGCTATCCTTTTTTGGCTTCTTTTTCTTTGGTTTGCCCTCCTCATTCTCTCCCTCTTCATCTTCATCATCCAAAGGCAACTCAATTTCTGGTTCTTTTAATAAGCCAAAAAATACCTGTTAGTCAAAAGGAGAAAGTACAAATAACAAATAATTCCTTAGCATTTCTCCTTTGTGTATTGGAAAAGAGAGATTATGCATGTCCATGTTGTAAGTTATCTCTAAACCCAAGTCACAATCCAGAGATCTACTTTAAGGATGAAACCAAGAACTTAAAACATACCAAAAAGAATTTTTAGTTTCTATTTCTTTAAACAGCACCTCTCTCCTGTCATATCTCAAAAAGTAGTAAGAACCTCAAACACTTTGCTGGATGCTGAAAGGAAGTTACGTTGATAGCCATAATTCAGACTCTAAACTTGTGCATTCTGACTGTGCTGACATAACCCAGAATTGTGGGTTGGGGAAGATTTATCTAAGTAACAACTAGATTAAGGGGGCCAAATAAAGAATTTTTTACATGTAGTACTGCTTTCTAAAGCTTCTGGTCTTATTTCAGTGCAACTAAGGCTGAACATCTGATTTCTTATATTAAGATGATACAATTAATTTGCTTTTTAAACACCAGTGAACAAAACACAGAAAGCAATGGCCAAATGGACATTTACTGGCGAACCACTATCACATTCAGGATTTGGAAATCAAAACTCAAATATATGGAGCTAGATTCAGCAAGTTACTTAATCTCTGCCTGGACCCACAGCTCCTGCTTGAATAGCAGATGGCAGCCATGATTAGGGGGCTTCTACACAAATTCCTCTTATGTGCCCATTGTGCCTATTTCTGGACCAGGAGGCTGTGCTCAGTCATTCATAACTCAGTCATTTCCCAGTTGGGTTATTGCAATCAACTTTACATGGGGCTGTCCTTGAAAAACACTTGGAAGCTTCAACTGGTCTAGAATGCAGAAGCATGCAGAGTTTTGGGTACACCAAGGTTTGCCTGGATTACACTGCGGTGACACAAACTGCACTGGTTCCCTATATGTTTCCAGGTGCAATTCAAGGTGGTGGTTATCACCTTTAAAGTCCTGGGTGTCACAGAATCAGGTTACCTGCAGGACTGCCTATCTCCGAGGATCTCTACTTATCCCACCAACAGATCAACAAGGTGGATGTGTTCCAGGTTTCCTTTATTAAATACAATAATGTCATCTTGCAAAATTGAGGCATTGTGCTTTCTCTGTCGCAGCACATGCCCTATGAAACAGCCTTCCCCCTGAGATCTGAAGGGCCCCAACACTCTTGGCCTTCTGGAAGGCCATGAAGACATGGCTTTTCCCCAGGTACAGGGCTGGGATATTAGATGAGCCCAATATGTGTGTGGTTTCTGTTTGTTATACATTGCCTCAATTGTTGTATTATGATTATTTTATTTCTGCTTTATGCTTGGTCGAGATAGATTTTTTGTTGTTGTTGATTGTTGTTAGCCACCCAGAGTTCATATATAAGATGGGAAGCCATATAAATCTTTCAAATAAATAAATAAATAAATCTAAGTATACTCTATCCAAAATCAGCCACTGAGCTGCTTCAGATGAATATCTTGGTTTAAGTATATCTCTCTATCGCGCTGTCTCTCTCCCTGCTCACTCCTTGCTTTATATATGGTGTGAATAACTTGCAGCACTTGCCTTAAGTTCAAAAAGCCTCTGCTGTCGATCAATTCAATATTCTTTCATTAAGAATCTGTACCTTCCCATCTAGAATGGGGAGTGGGGGGAGAAAAGGGGGTATCAGAAAAGAAATGTACCTATATTTTGACTCTGCTTCTATTTATTATTTACATGCAACCTCCTCAGATTACCCTTAAGAGTCAAAATAGAAAAAGTGTTACCTCCTTGTATATATGAACCAAATTTAAACAAAAGGAAATCAGCTGTTAGCTTGTTTCCACTTCCCGACCAAAAACTGATATTAACTTAAAACTATTGTTTTGAAGCTGGTTTGTTCTCAAACTGGAAATTATTATTTTCCAATTTGAACAAAATAGGAAATTCTTGTTAACTGGAGCATAATAATATAGGCTAATATTTCAAGCAGCCCGCTATACCAACTGCAGGGTCATAAATGAAAATAATTTCACATTCAGGTTTTTTTTATCCCCATACAATGCTGTCCATGAAGTTACGTTTATCTCATTTCATACCTTTGCTTTATTTGCTTCTCGTTTTGCTTCTCCGGCTAAACTTCCCACCATAGCATCAATCTGTTGTTTACTACGAGGCATTCCATCAAAGATATCAATGTAAAGGTGTTCTTGAACAATGTTCCAGATCTGATTATTCTGTTTTTCCTGAAGATGTCTCTTAAGAAGCTGGTAAGAATCACGGGAAATACGCAACACAAACTTGCTTGTTCGGAAATCCAGCATAGTCTCATTTCCCCTCATGTGCTCTTTTTTGGTTAAACCTGACAGGACACGTAAGTCATCTTGGTAATAACACTCTTGGTCCCCATGAAACCTAGAAAAAGATTAGGGATATATTAGAGATGGTAGGGACCTAATCATCACGTTGATTGATGTAATCCTCAGATCTTGAAACAGTTGTAAAATTATATCATAAATAGCTGTATAAAAAAACTATGGCACAGAAATATAACTGAGATGTATGGAAAGTGGTATGGAAAATAACCGATATTCCTTTGTTAGCAGCAGCTCTTAGCAGCAGCACATGTAACCAAAATGGGTAATAACTGGCAATATCTAAGTTCCTATGCAAAACATTTAGGATATCATATCCAGAAGTATGTAACATTTTTCCAACCAAATCACAGGTGATTTTTCTTTCCCCCATTCCACTCCTACCCTTCCAAAAACCAAGGGAGAAATGCTGCCCTTGAAGACCATCCAGAAGCTACAGCTGGTCCAGAATGCAGCAGTGTGGGAAATGATAGAGCACCATGTTATGTGCACATGACCTTGATGCTTCATGAGCTGCACTTATTACCAGTTGGCTTCTGGGTGCAATTCAAGGTCCTGATTATCACCTTTAAAGCTCTTCATGGCATAGGGCCTAGCTGAAGGACTATTCATCTCCAGTTGTCTCTGCCAACCTGTAATAATTAAGGAGGGTGGGTACTCTCTGGGTCCTGTCAATAAACAGTGTCATTTTACAGGATCCAGAAGTGGACCTATTCTGTTGTCATCTGAAATGTTATTCCCCCAAGAAATTTGTGCAGCTCTCACCCTTATGATGTTTAGGAAATTACTGAAGACCTAGTTGCTTTGGTGACAGGGTGATTAAGGAACCCCCTTTAGTTATAGTTGCTTCAATGTTGGTGTTTTGTTTTTCTGGTCGGTTATGATTTTTTATATATATATTGTCTTTTTTTATTTCTAACCTGTTCAGAGTTTCTATGGAGTTGGACAGCCTCAAAATCTGATAAGTAAATAATAGGTGTATACTCGAACAGAAAACAATAGTTTTAACATTTCATTGATAAAATCCAGCTTTGCAGAGAAACAATAACACTATACAATGGTCCAGGCCAGAACATTTCAGTAGTAAAAATTTACATAGACAAAATATAATTATTTTATCTAGATTCTAAGCACCTCAGAATAAAATTTCTTTGACATATACATATACACAGACAAAACAAAGCATTATATTTTATATATATACACTGATGCACATAACCAAAACTCCCTGAACAAAAAAATTACATAGTAAATTACTAGGTAACCGGGAATGTCTTTATTATTATGCGTCAATTGTAATTGTAATCTTTATTGTCATTGTACTTCTCGTACAACGAAATTAAATGCCACCC